CAGCCAGTGCACAGGATGGCCAATTTAATTGGCTGCACACGGTTATATAAGAGCAACCGCACACATATACACACGCACACACACGCACACACATGCACACACACGCACACACAATCGGACTCGTGTGCATTTTCCAATGGCACATTGCAGATTTTCCGTCCCATTGTTGTTGTCCATTTTTGGCACGTGGCAACAACTTGCTAATTGGTTTTAGCCAATTCGGTTAACGCTCTGCCGAGCTGCGGCCGGGCTCGAATTGACAGCAAACATCATTTATTTTAATGAGCATAACCGTTGCCCGTTTTGCAGTATGGCCCAAATGAACCGTTAAGCCATCGCATTTCAGCCAAAATGTAAATTCATCAGGTCTTAATCGGAGCGTGAAAAATCAGTTTCTCTTCTCGTTATTTATTTAAAATGTACAATTTGTTGTTGTTCTTTGTTTTGTGCCCACTCGAAAGTTTTTCTGCCACTTTGATGCCTCGGGCGGGCGCACATAAAAATGTCAAAGCTTTTAGTTTAATGGCCAACTTTTGGTGCGTGGCAGGGCGGTGGGGGGGGGGGGGGGGGTGGTGCTGCCTTAAAAGATATAGTACTTCATTTTAAAATGGCGCCCGCGCACCTTTTGTGTGACCATATTCTGTGTCTGGCCACATACTTTTGATAGCCGGCGGCAAGTATGTGCGAAATACCCTGCAACTGTTAGCGGTGTGGGGTATATAAGTTACCTGTGCCTATATATAGTAAACTACCCTGTAACTATTAGCGCTGTGGGGTATATTAGTTGTTCTGTTAGCTGTATAACGACTGATGCTGCTGTAAATAACAAGCTAAGTAGGGTATATACAAGTTGATTTGATAATTAGAATACATTTGCAATTCGGGAAATAGTTCTTTATTAGATATTCGAATATAGTTCGTTCTCTAATAACATTTGGCTGTAGATTTTGTGTGTTCTTTTCCTCGAAATATTTCTATGGACTACCAAATCAGGCTACACCAATGCATATGCACATGCTTACAGGGTATACAGCCTATAGAATACATATGCTTAGATCTAGTTTATTCTCTCTGCAGATGTTTGCCCTTTGGGCACTTTGGCCATAAATTAAAATTGACATTTTGTTCTCTTTGTAAAACGAGCTGGTAAATTAATAATTGTTATGTAACATATTACACATACGTATGTATGTGTGTGTGTGTGTATCCAGGTGAAATAAAATTGAATACATTTCATTTTAGGCAAATTTTGTGATAAATGCATATTGTTCCGATGGAACTGTCGGAACAATCATGTGCACAATTATTAATTTTCATATATATATATATATATATATATATGTTATACAATTCCTAATCATATTTGGCCTGATATATTTGTTCAATTGTTTACAACTTGATTGAATTATAAATGTTGCATTAGCTGCAATTTGTCTGCGGTTAATTTGTTTGCAATTTGTGCAGCACTTGCCACCAACTGTGGCAACTGTCAACGTGTTTGCATCAGTTAGTTACCTTGCGGCTGACCAAAATCTCTGACTAACTGGGTTTGTGCGTGGCCGAGGCTTGGCAAAGGAGTTGGCAATTGAAATTCAAACGGAGTGCACTCAGCACTGGCACACTAGCTGCAACTGCAACTGCATGTGGCATGTGGCATGTGGCATGTGGCACTAAGAGAAAACCACAGTCGCATTTCAACTGTGGCAATCAAATGCAAACTGTTTAACAGCGGGTGGATTATTTTATAGACGTGGCTGGGCTTAGAAAAGCGACACGCCCACTCAATTTAAACTTTTGGGCAGCGGCACATGTTGCATGTTTGCGTGGGTGTGGGAAAGACGCTTGTGTGTGTGTGTGTGTGTGTGTGTGTGTGTGTGTGTGTGTGTGTGTGTGTGTGTGTGTTTGTGTTGCGGTATTTGTTTTTGCAGCTTTTGTTGAGTTTTGATACCCTGTTGCTCTATAAACAAGCGAGAGCTGTGCACTCGCTTCTAATAAAGGCTAAAAACAGTTGAAAAACAGTTTGTATTTGTGTGTTGCAGTTGCCTTGTGGCGGCGGCTGTGGGCGTGGCTTAGCTACGAGATGAAGACATGCTAAATAAGACTTGGCTTGACATTGCACAAAGCCAAATAGCCCTCATTTCACTTTTAAGAACAGAGTATAAGCATAATTGGAACTGGTTTTGACAAGTTGTACGAATATATATGAGCGTGCAGGGTATCTCATCGTCGGATAATCGCGTCCAAAATTCAATTGCATACTTTTGGGCTAAAACTTTTGGCTAACTTTATTTATGTTCACGTATTGCTAACAATTTGCTTGCAACTTTAGCTTTTGGCCAATTGAAAAACTCTTTAAATATTATCCAAATCGAAAAATAGTTATTGTAAATTTGAACTTTAGTTTAAGAAACAAGTCGCAAATACAGCTCCTCCGGCAAAGTGGTCTGGTAGTAAGTCGGTCAACAAAAATGCGTACCCTCCGCCCCAAACAAAAACCCTAAAAAATTAAGAATTCTAGAGCGATTTACGTAGTTGACAAATAAACAAATCAATTGTAATCTAATGCTCTCGACTAATTCAAGAACAATAATATTTCTCTTCTATTTACAAATTTGCTTTGCACTCGACACGAAAAAAACACACACACACACAAACCAACCCAACCCGACTTCTAAATACTCTATAACGACAACTATGCTTAATTTATAAATTTATAATTTTTCTTAAACCCCTTTCCGAACCCCGCACACCCGCAAATTGGTTGCAAACTAAATTTGTAATGAAATAACACAAATAATTGAAACTACTTTTTAATTACTTTTATATTAATTAACTTGTATAATTTTTTAATTGTTTTTTTTTTTCACATTTATGCCACACAAAAAAAATCTCACAAAAAAAAAATGTATCAAATCATTTTTCAATAATATGTTGCACCTGTGTGTGTGTATGTGTGTGTGTGTGTGTGTGTGTGTGTGCAACAAATGCAACATGACAAAATAAAAACACACCCACACACACACAACTTGTCAATCACGCATCAATCAACACGCGCAAATCTTGTTGTACTTAACATTTCGAAAAACAAAAACAATATTTTGTCTCATAAAATGTTAAAAAACAAACACACACACATTAAAGATACCATGGGGACTGAAAAAAATCTGTTGGGGTCTGATAAATATAACTGTGCCCAGGGTAAGCTATATATTCACATATCTATATCAATATCAATATCAAGTTAAACATTCTGATTTGTCAGTCTGAATTGTTTTATGTTGTTGTTGTTGCTGTTGTTCAATATTGTTCATATTCTATAATTATTATTTATTTGTTTAACTCTAATTTGTTGCATATCAATCACAGATTTGTCGTTTCCGTTTCCGTTTCCGTTCAGTTTTTTTTTTTGTAAATATTTTTTTAATTTTTTTAACGTATGCATAATGTTTATATAACTGTATAAAGTTGATGTTGACTAAATGCTTAAGCACTTTTTTTATTTTATTTTACAACTCTTTCGTTATGAAGAATTTTTTTTATTTTCGGTTAACAATTTGCAATATATTTAACTATTTTATTAACTTTGACAAGTAATTCCCATTTAATTATTTTTATAATTACTTTTGGAATTAGGCTAGAATATCTGTTAAGCCTAATGGCAATATTTTGAATAATTTGATGGAGACAGCGATTCGTGAAAATAGACTGCAGCAATTATATTGTCGAGCCATAATTTAAATGTATATTTATTTATCGAATAGTTCTGTTCGCTTATTTGAAAACGGAATACTATTTCATTGCCAATCGTGGCCAGAGCCACCTAATTATGGCCATTAAATGTGTAAACTTAATTGGGCCACATTCTTCGCATATATTTCTCTAATTAAATGCTCGGCTTGGGCTTTGTCTTATCAATTTGGCCGAAACTTGTTCAAGTGACAAGACAAGCAAATAATTGAATATTAATTAAATGCATTCGACGCAGACACGTTAATTATCTGCAGCTCAGTTGTGCACCTGTTTCAAATTTAAGTTAACACAAAATTTAAATGTGAACCTGCGCTACGTAATGGCATTAACTGGATCCAAGCTGGCCAACACACACACACACACACACACACACACACACACTCACACACTTACAAGCCAAATTGATTTGTTGCACTCGAGTGCGTTGCAGCTACACGGCGCCAAAGTGCCAGAGAGCTAGAGCGTGAAGGGCTAGAGATGAGCGCGTGTCGTGACACGACTCAATTAACGTGTTTCGTGCTTGGGCCAAGCGCATCTAATGAGAAATGCAAACACGACTTAACGCAAACAGGGTATATGCAAACATATCTGCATCAATTATTCAAAAGCAAATCATAATCATTTAATAATAATAATAATAAAATAAAATGTAACTAATATAAAATACCAAATCTAAAAACCAACTAAATGATGTGTTTAAAAAGAGACTGGAATTTTGAATTAATTTTAAAAAAGTTTTATTTAATTTACACTTTTTAGTAAGAAGCATAAATAATAATATTTAATTTAACAATGCGGGAATTTTAAATTAATTTTTTAGTAGATTTATTTAATTTATATTTTTACGACACTCTCTAGATCTTCTTCAATCACGCGCCCCTCTCCCGCCTTTGAGCCTTTAACTAGTTACAAATTGTCGCACTTATTGCTCGACTATTTTTAGCCGTGTAACGAGCGAGCCTTATCTAATTTGAGCGCTTGTTAATGCCTTTACCATGCAAACAAAAAAAAAAATACCCCGCAGAGTGCATACTCTCTCTCCCTCCCCCTCTTTCCATCTTTTTTCTATCTGTCTCTCTCTCTCTCGCCGCGCAAATAGTACATTGTAAATAACTGAAGCTTTATCAAGAGATGACGCCTCTCATCTGCCTGTCCCGTTAGTTCAGCATCGAGCAGCAGCAGCTGCGTTTCAGTTGAGATTCGCGCGCGACGCTGCAAACACACACACACAAAGAAAGAGACAAAAAAAAAAGACAAAAACAAAAAGAACAACAGCAAAAATGCAACGGCACATAATTAGCGCGCATTAGTGAAAAGCGAATGCGAAGAAAAAATAATAAGAATCAGCTGAAAAAGCGCAAAAATGGTTATCGATTCGCCGCACGCGACGCACAAATATTTGCGACGCATTTCGCGAGATTTCTCCACAGTGCGACGCTTTAGCAATACGCCAGCCGTTACCCTAACTGTACCCAGCCCCGCCTCCGCCGCCGCCGCCGCCGCCATCCCACTCGATGGGCCCGAGGATATGCCCAGCACGCCGCGTGGCATTCGCAAGCGGCAGCGCTTGCGGAAGCGCTCCTCCGTCTCATCGACATTATCGAAAGTTTTGATACTCAATGTGCGGGATTTGCTCAAAGCGCAGGCAAATAGCGAGTCTACAGTCGAGGTACTTCAAATAGAACCGGGCAGCCAACTGGCAATAGTCAATAGTCAACACTCCAGCCACTAATCCCAGGCCGACTTCAGCTCTTAGCCAGCTTTGGCAGTCCTAAACTGTTTATTTATATACCCTGTAGCCATTGAAGGTATATATATTCTTGATCAAGTATGTCACATTCGAATACTCTAAACAAATATTACTCAAAATCGAATACTAGCTACAACTACAGGGTATATACATGAGTTCATTACAAGATCAAGAATATTTCACTTGTGAGATAACTCTCCACACTAAATAATAATTATTATTAATATTATTAAAATATGTGAAACTGAGAGGAAAAGTAGCACATAAGAATGCACTTGTTAGAGGGTATTTCCTAGTCGGCCAACCTTGCGGTTCTAGATCTTGTTTCATGTGCCAACTGTTGCATTTGTTACAAGTTTGAGAGGCTTGTGATTCCAGTTGGAGTCTGCGAATAGTTTTTGCTATTTACCCGCCAGTTTTTCCACTTGAGTTTTTCCATTTTCTTGTTTCTTTTCATTTTCTTTTTTTTTAATTTTGTTCTTTGCAACTATTTTGCATGCGTAGTCTTGATTTGATATGCCAATCGTATTGTATTATCTGTATATAAATAGTTTTTTTATCTACTTTGAGCAATATTTAGTGGGTGTGAAAGTATATTATTAAAGAAAATATTATTATTTATATATGTATATATATTATTTATATGATGACAAAGTATGTAACATTTTAGTTACATTTCGAAATTAGTTTTTTTCTATTCTATTAAAAAAGTTCCAGAAATGTTAGCTATTACCTGTAAATGTTTATTCGTCTTTAAACTATTGCAATTTTTGTTAAGCAGCTTACTTTTTTAATAATCCTATTACTTTATCGATTAATATATATTCTATTCTTTTCCAATTGTTAATAATTATAATTTCCATGTAGTATGGCTACTTTCTATAGACTCTTTCCCTGAGCACCCGGCCCGTAAGCACCTCAATCTATTTGCATATATATATAAATACATATATTTACCCTACAAAATTGATGAACTAGATTTGAATGTAATACTCAAATCTCTACTAGTTTTTTTGTTATAAGATCTGTAAGCATACGCTCTTGGGTTTCAACCTTAGATAGTTCAGGCAAAAAAAAAAGGATAATAATAATAATATTTGTAATATGTTTAATGTGCCATTAAAAGAAAATGTTGTTTTGTTGAACTGAACTAATACGATTTTGTGCTTTTGTTAATTTTTCTTTTCTTTCTATTCGAACCCAATGCGAATTTGTAGCATCAGCCGCGCAGTTGGATCGAGACAAATTTTCAGAAACGCGAGTGCATCAAATTCATACCATGCCCAAAGGACGATACAAAGTAAGTGTCAAAAGAGAACTCGGCAAATCTGATTGCAATTCATTTACTAATTAAGTCAACGGAGTGCAGGAACTACCCCCCTCCCCCCCTGCTCTAAGCATGCATTATTGGCTTGCAACTTTTGACCCAGTTTTGCGTATCAAACAGCCCGTTTGATGCACCGAGGCGCAATGTATTTGTCCCAGTTCCCCTGGGCTGGGCCGGGCCGGGGCGGAGGGTTTGTGTATTTAGTTTCATTTTTGGCGTTGGCATTTTATTGTTTATTATTATAGCTGGCAGTTAACTGCCCGCCCCCAGCCCCCTTCCAGGGCAACGCCGCCCCTAAGATGCGCTCCCTAACCAATTGAGATAAATGGGTTATATAAACTTGGCTGTCTGCCTGTCGCTGCTGCTGCTGCTGCTGCTTCCTCTTCTTCTTCGGCTGGCTTATTTGGGTGAAAGTTTTTGTCAGCTACGTACAGTGTGTACAGTTTATGATGGCTTTATGGCTTCGCCCGACTGACGTTCTTTATCAGACTTTAGCTGACTGCTCAAATATTTGGCAGCGCTTTTAACCCACAATCATCAGTTTTTTGCCTGGCAGCTGTTTTTGTGCCCACAGCACGCCGTCCCTCTCAGCTGCCTCTGCCACCCTGTTGCAGGCATTTAATTGTTGGCGCTGACAATTGTTGGCTAACGTACCCCCACAATCCAATGCCTGACGCAGATGCCCATTTACCTCTGCTTGTACTGGCAAAATAAATTACGCTATTTACACATGCTTCTACAATTTCATGTGTGTGTGCGTGGGGGTGTGTGTGTGCTAAACATTATTCATGGCTTAGCATGCCTCAAATGGCTCGATTGGTAGGCTGGCAACACGTGTTGCATGTGCCACACACACATGTGCAGATTTATTTGAGCCAGAGGAAGGATGTAGGATGTAGAGCAATAAAGTATATAGACGTATATGTACTTAACAGAATATAAAGAGTATATACCGTATATAGAGTATGAGAAGAAGAAAGAGTATTATAATTTGATCATGCTTGGAGCTGAAGAAAACAGGTCGAATGTGTCCTTTAGCATATTGAGGCATAAAACAAGTGCTTATAAGAAATATTTACACATTTCTTCAGGTATTCGGCAGGTATGTGTATTCTATGAGCTGCAATTGATTTATTCATTAGGCAATTGTTGCTGAGTGATGCATCTGCGTGGCTTCTATTAGTTAGCTGTAATTGAAATTTATTATTTAACAGGGCCAAAACTTCTGAGAAACTGCCAAGAGCAGTCAAAGAGAGAGAGAGAGAGAAATAGAGACAGAGACAGAGACATAAGCTAACAGACAGTCAGACGAGCTGGCAACTTGTCTTTGCCAAAGCTATTGTTATAGCCAAGCACACACACAGGCACACACACACACACACACACACGCGCGCAGCCAGACAGGCAGACAGACAAATGTGACAGCTTTGCGTATGGGTAAATAACAACAACAAAAACAAGGACAACAACAGCTGAGAGAGCGGCAACAGGCACAAGGCCACCCACAAAAGAGCCGCACATGCATAAATAACGGTTTATTTTACACGTGAGCCTTGCCATAACGTGCATGGGCAGCATCACGCCTTCACGTTGTGGGTGTGTCGCTGCGTGCTCTGCCTTGTGTCATTTATATAACGCATATATTGACAATGAATCAACATGTTCGAAAAGAAACGTGAAAACAGGGATATCTTCGGCACGCCGAAGATTTAATACCCTTGCAGAGCGAACTCCTTTATACTATCCATAATGCTGTGCCCCTATCTGGGAGACTAGTCAATGTCGAGTATGTTTAAGATATCTTGAAAAGCAAAAAGTTTTTCATGCAGCAACTTCAGTTTCGACCGTTTGTTCCTATGTGTGCTACATGATATAGTGATCCGATATTGATAGGATTTTGCATATATACGAGAAGTATAGTAAAACTTATAAATGTCGAGTTTGGTCAAGATGTCTTCATAAACAAAAAAGTTTTTCATACAAAAACCCACTTCTCGACCATTCGTTCCTATGTCAGCTATATGATATAGTGGTCCGATCCAGCCAGTTCCCAAATATGCACTGCATGCAACAGAAAGAGGGACTTCTGCAAAGTTCTATGACGATAGCTTTAAAGCTAAGAGACTAGTTCGCATAGAAACAAACAGACGAATATGGCTATATCGACTCTGCTGTTGATACTGATCAGGAATATACATATATACTTTATGGGATCGGGGATGTCTTCCTCTATGCGTTACACATTTCACGACCAAATTGTAATACCCTCTGAAAGGGTATAACAAGAAACGTCTGCACACGACTAATTTGCTGGCTATATGTTTTTGTTTTTTTCGTATCTGCGACAACACGGCGTATACTCAACGTGGCATTAACAGTATATTAACAACTCTTTTGGTTTTTTTCTGTTTTTTTTTTCTCTTCCGCGAAAACCCTTTGATAGATGCTGCTGCGGCCAGGCACAGATTACGCATCAGACGATAGCCGGCATCGAGAGCGGCTCGCCGGGCGATCTGTGGCTGCCCACGAAGCACACACGGCCCCAGCCCACCGATGCGTATGGCACCATTGAATTTCAAGGCGGGGCGCATCCCACCAAGGCGCAGGTGAGTTCATCGGGCCTATAAACGGAATATATTTAGCTGTTAAGTGCTCTGTTGAGGCACGTGGCACGTGGCATATGCCTCGAGTCTCTCGAGGCGCTGGCATCGACTTCGCTTGACTTTGGCCAATAACTTTTGAAACTAACACACACACACACGCACACGCACACGCACCTTTGGTGTATGTATATATTCCCTGCAGTATGTGCGCTTGTCATTCGATACGCGACCGGAGCTGTTGGTGCAGCTATTCACCAAGGAATGGAATCTGGAATTGCCAAAACTTTTGATCACCGTGCAGGGCGGCAAAGCCAACTTTGATTTGCAGGCAAAACTAAAAAAGGTAAGCTAACAACTTTTCCATTGATCCACCTGCCAAGTGTCCACTTTCACACGCTAATTGAATGGCGTCGACTTTGACCTGAACCTGGCCCGAAATTCTGATTTCCTTTCGCTCGCTCGCAGGAGATACGCAAAGGACTGCTGAAGGCGGCCAAAACAACGGGCGCCTGGATATTCACCGGCGGCACCAACACGGGTGAGTTCTTCATTTCGCATTTTACGACCAGACACTGTGACAATTTTTTATGGCCCCACTATTAAAGAGAAGTTGAATAAAAGTTAAATAAGTTCAGCCGAACGCAGCCTCTGAGCCACGACTTCAAACTTGGGCAGTCACTTGAAAATTAAATAAATAAAATCCCAAGCGGAAATCGCGCAGCCAACTGATTGCACAAACTTTCTCCCACAACTGAGCGACACCAACTACCCTAACAAAAGCCGGGAACTAAGCAGTTGCCAAGGCACTTGGCGACATGACGCAACTGTATTCGATATCAAATTATTTCAAAGATATCTATTTCAGTGCGATAAGAGGTTTTGACAGTTCCAGCTCACAGCTCTAAATATCGTATTATCAAGCTGGCTATTAATAATCTCTCCAATGTGTTGCATAATAAAACAAAGCGCAGCATATACCCTTACCTATACTACATAATATAGATAGCTATGCTTATTGTTTAAAGCTGAGAGTCGAGTTATATAGAAAGAGACAGATAAACACGTTCGACTGCTGCAGAACTGTTAGGGTATATTAGATTCGTTGTGCCGCGCACAAATTTGTGCGCAATATTGTCCTTTTTGTCGGTTTTCTTTTGTGCTGGAGCTGTTATTAAATTTTAGACACGCTGCTTCGGTGCCAGCCCCGCACTTACATACACATAGAAGTGTATATATATATTTATATAGGAGAAATAAAACTAAAGCCAAAGTCAAAGTCAAGGTACTTGAGTTACAAAAACACAAAAAAACCAAAAAAAAAAAGACAAAAAAGTAACGCAAAAACTTATTTATTTTGTACATTGTTGTGGTTGTTTCTGTCACCAACTCTCCTCTTGTTGTTGTTGTTGTTGTTATTATTTTTGGCATTGTCTATTTTTCAGGCGTCACGAAGCAAGTGGGCGACGCCCTGCTCCTGGAGGGACAACAGCGCACCGGACGCGTGGTCAGCATCGGCATCGCACCGTGGGGCATTGTGGAGCGCAATCATGAGCTGTTGGGCCACAATCGTGAGGTGCCCTGCCACAGTATTAGCTCGCCGAGGTGGGTAAAGAGCAGCACTTAATGCATATTTGATAAGGCCACAAGTCCCATTAAAGGTCCTGTTGTGGCACCTGTTGCAGCTGCTTTTACAGGTGTTGCATGCTCCTTTAAGTATTGATGACCCCCAACCGCCATCTGCTTTTGTTGCCAATAATATAGCATGTATTTGTCTTCTTTACGTTTCCAGATCGAAATTGGCCGTTCTGAACAATCGGCATGCGTATTTCCTGCTCGTCGACAATGGCACTCAGGCCAAATACGGCGCTGAATTGATATTGCGCCGCAAACTGGAGAAATTTATTTCGAATTTAAAGCTGCATCCATGTAAGTTCCACGAGTCAAATCGAAAAAAAAGGCAATCAGTTTAGTTGGCTTTCAGTTCTGGCAACCCGAGCACAGAATTGTGGCAAAGATTAATATGCTTTGAGGCTCACACAGATTCCATAGAAAGCTAAGCATTGTGCACAGCTAAGTTTACATTCATTGCCAAGGTTTGTGAACAGAAATTGCAACCAGCCAGCGTCTTTAATCTGATTTGGGCTTGCAATGACAACAGTTGAAAGTGGCACAAAGGGCACAGGATTTATCCTGTCGAACATGTAAAACTGGCTGAAAGCTGACTCAACCTGAAAGCTTAAATGTGCTTTAAACGTTTTTCGAGCTTATTATAAATGGCAAGATTAGAAACAGAAAAGTTGCAAACTGTGGTCCGTTAGATACTTTTATGTGCTTTCAAGTTTCTTTTTCATGAAAGGGCAAAAGCTTACAGTACAATAAAGTTTTGAATAAGTCGAAGAGAGAGAGAGAGAGAGGGAGAGAGAGTGAGGGATAGAGCAGAATAGGCTATAAAATAAACACAAGCTCAGCTTGAAGCTTAAAGCTTTAATGTGCTTTTAATGTTGCTCCCGCAATGACAAAAAAATCGTTGAAAATGATTCCATTTGACAGAAAAGTAGCAAACTGTGCACTGCTAGAAACTTTAATGTGCTTTTCGAGTTTTTTTTTTTTTAAGAGCAAAAGCTAACGCAAATGCGAGAAAGAGTTTTAAAAATTAAACAAAAGTTCTGCACTAAGCTTAAAGCTTGAATGTGCTTTTAAAGTTCTTTTTTTTTTGAAACGAAACAAATTAGTTGATTTTATCATAACTTTCAGCTAGTGTCATTGAGCCTTCTAAAGCCTTAAAGTTGAGTTTGTATTTGCGTTCAACTGTGCAAGGCATAAGTATAAAACTACGAGTGCGTTCCTGTGGCCTTTTGTCGACTATTATCATAATGATGTTTTATTTGTATTATGTCTGTTATAACTCTTGTGATTGAAGGCGGCAGTTGTAATGCATAAATCAACCTTAGGTCTGGCGAGGTCTGGTCCGGGTCAGCTGAGCTCAGGTGTGCTTAGCCCGCTGCGAATTATAACATTGAGTTGCACCTTTTGTTTTATCTTTAGCATAATTTATTTAAGCGCCTGCTGTTATTTGCTTCTACCGTTGCAGTCACACATTCCAGTACGCCCGTCGTCTGCCTGGTGATTGAGGGCGGCACAAACACAATACGTGCTGTCCTGGAATATGTGACAGACTCGCCGCCCGTTCCGGTTGTTGTTTGCGATGGTTCCGGGCGTGCCGCCGATCTGCTGGCCTTTGTGCACAAGTAAGTTTTTGGGCCTGCCATCCGACTGATTGCCGAGACGCAATTAATAAACCAGCCGCACTTGCTGTAAATTTAATCAGGCTCCCGCTCCCGTGCCTCCTTCCCCTTCCGCTTCCCCTGCCCAGCCCATTTCCCGCCTCTCGGGTCCTTACGTATTTTATTTGCGGTGCTGCTGTCGTTCGCTGATATTGTTATTAGTGGCTGCTGCTGGCTTCAAGTTCATTAAGTACACGACATTTAGCAAATTGCATATTTAAATTCGGAGCGGACTCGAAGACAAAATGTAGGCCACAATATAACGTATACGCCGCGTAGCCCACTTTCTATTTGTTTTGACAAACTTTTTGTGTGCGACGGACTCCTTTACTTGACTGTTGTTATTTACCTAACAATTTGCTGCCTCCCTTTGCACTGCTCCATTTAATTTAATGTGTTTAATTAGACGCCGCAATTGCGGCGGTGACAGCAGCAACAGCAACAGTCGCAGCCACAAGTCTTCTGCCCTTTAATTCAATATGTAACTTTGTCTTTAACCTTTTTTTGTTTTTGTGTAGGTATGCATCCGATGGCGAGGAGCAACCTGTGCTGGAGTCCATGCGTGAGTATCTCATTGGCACCATACAAAAAACCTTTGAGGTAGGCGTGGATCAGGCCGAGAAACTTTATCAGGAGCTGCTCCAGTGCACGCGCAACAAGAATTTGGTAAGTTGCAGGGATTGGCTGGCGTGGGCGTTGGCCAATGATGGTCTTAATGAATGATATACATTTGTATACCCTGTAAAAATCGGGATACGATAAAAAGCCATGTTTCTTGTACACATAGCCTTAATACCCTTCTTGCCACTTTCAATAGGTTCAGGGTATGAAGAGCTGGGATTTTTGGTACACATATTTAACATATGCATGTGTGTCTCTCTTCTTCTACCTGGCAGTGTACAGGTGTATTTGGCAAATGCCTTGGCAACGCAAGATTTCTGTTCAGCTTATGGCAATATTGTATGAAATTGTTTGGCCTGACATAAACAAGAGAAATGAAATATGGACATATCTATTTTTCATAGATATTTAAATGCCTCCATTTGTATTGAACGAAAAGCTGGCCCCGAGCTGGCGAAATGACTGTGCATTCAAATGTGCTTACTGACCCATTATTAAGTTTATAATATATTAAGCAAAGTTTATTTAGTTGAAAAATGATTAATTACATTGCGAAGCCTTTGAAAGGCCGGCTGGCTGGGAATTGGTTATTGGGCACTCTCGCAATTAAAAGCGCATAAAATACACAGAAAGAGCAAAAGAGGGCGAAACATTACCTTGAGATTTAAATTTGTGTTCAACTTTTCAATCACTTAAGACTTTTTGCGCGCACCGATTTAAATATTTAATTAGTCGTGTCAAGGGAGTGCCCCTATTGTGGCCCAGTTGAACATGAATTGAGTGCAAAAATAATTAGCCTACGAAATTCAATTGAACGTGTAATGAATTTTAAATCACCTTAAATTTGTAGACCTAGAGAATTTTGTCGTTATTAAGATTTTAATTGGTTTTCAAATAGACTGCGCCCCGCTTCGCCCACGGCTTGCCCGCGCCACGTTTAGCATTAACCATTACACGAGGCTTATTTTTATGATTCGTTTTTTTTTTTTTTTTTTTTTTGGTGCGCTCCACACAGATTACTGTGTTTCGCATACAGGAAAAGCCCGAAGGCGAGGCACAGGAGCTGGATCAGACCATACTCACGGCACTCTTCAAATCACAGCACCTCAGTCCGCCGGAGCAGCTTAGCCTGGCATTGACATGGAATCGTGTGGACATCGCGCGCAGCGAGATATTTGTCTATGGCCAAGAGTGGCCCAATGGTATGGCACAGCGCGAGTACATAAATATATATGTACAAGATATAAACTGGCATATATTTAGCATTTATTCAGACTCTGCATAATTTGCCATACAATTTTTATTGACCGCAGGCGCTTTGGACGAGGCCATGATGCAGGCACTCGAACATGATAGAATCGATTTTGTCAAATTACTTTTGGAGAACGGCGTCTCAATGAAGAAATTTTTAACAATACCCCGCCTCGAGGAGCTCTACAACACAAAACACGGTCCAGCCAATACCTTGGGGTGAGTTCCCATTTTGGGGCAACATATTTATTTTTTTGGTCAGCAAATTGTTTGCCCGTGCCAACTCCTATGCATTGCTCAGTTTTCTCTCTGTTTTCTAACTTATTTTTATTTTGTATTTCTTTTCTTTCCCGATTCCAGCTACATATTGCGCGATGTCCGCCCGCATATACCCAAGGGCTACATCTACACGCTCCACGACATTGGTCTTGTCATCAATAAACTAATGGGCGGCGCCTATCGGTGAGTAGGCCATACCAAAGCGTATTTTAATCCAAGGTTCCACATATTAGTCTTCCATAACTTGGTCGAAATTTACTGGTTTACCTTTGACCTGTCGTTGAAGTAATTACTTGAACTCGAGATTGATTCTGCAGCTTTTTTCTGTCGAGTCTGGGATTGTTGCTTAGCTTTCATTTAAAGGTATTCATTCAGCGCGAACAGGGTGTTTGCAAGTCGAATAATCTTATATTAACAAAGTATGTCATACTAAGTTGGTCAAATGTAAGTGCCTTAACTTTGACCTGTTGTTAAATACATTACTTGAACTCCAGATTAGTTCTGCAGATTTTTTTCTGTCGAGTCTGGAATTGTTGGCAAGCTTTCATTCAGTTGGTGCAGGGTGTTTGCTAGTCGAATTATCTAATTTGTTGCTATAAAATTCAATGTGTGTTAGCCAAACCGAAGGTTAAACACTCTAGGCAAGAGTTAAGGCCCATCAAATCAAGCGTCTCGAGTAATTGTAGCCAAAAAATTGATGGAGACAAAGTTTTATGCGGGCTGAAATTTCAGAGCTGCTCGTAAATTTTTGGGGAAATCAACCAAAAAAAGGTCGTGACAAACTTGATGCCAAAGTTATAATGATCAGCTTTCTGGCAAAGTACATATAAAACGCTCGACAATTAAACGTAAAGGCAACAAAATGAACGAGTTGTCAGTGGGCGGCCAGTTCCGTGAAAGAATCCTTTTCAGTGAAAGTATCCTTTCAGGCTAGACTCGAACAGTGGGAGTCCAGAATCTGTGTGGACTCTGCAAATTAGTTTATCACTGCAGCGCTTTCAGTTAATGCCTGTGTTTTTTAACACTGACCCGGCCCATAAAAATTGTGGCCAGTGCGCCGCATCGCGGGGGGGGGGCGTGTCCGACGCCTTTAACATGTTGCCGGATTAAATTTGATGAGCTCCAAACGTTCGCCAAATTTGTTTATAAAAATGTAATAAGTTTTCACAACTTGCAGCGCTTGTCTCAGGGCGTCTCAAAAGGCAGGAAAAAAAGTAAAATTTTAAAATAAGAATAAAAGCAAGTCAAAGTAAAGGAGAGCAGAGCGAAAAGCAGCCGCCAAAAGGCGCCTATAATTATTTCTCGTTAACATTTTGGCCAGCGAGGCGCAAAATGCTGCGGCTTAGATTTAGTTAACGCGGCTTTTGCGGTCGCTTTTTGTATGAATTTAATATATCTTAAAGGTCCCCTTTTGACTCCTGTGGTTGGGTTATTACGAATATGTTGTGCGAGGTTTTTTATGGCCAAATTGAGATATTACTTCTCCTTCTTTTATCGATTGCCTCGAATGCTGCTTATCAATTGGAAATAAATAAAATTTGGTTTTTAATTGCACTCAAACCAAACTAAATGAAATTTAATAAAGATATCCGCAAAGGGTATTTAATTATCGGCCATTTATATATTAACTTTTCCGCGTTTGTACTCATTGTGTGAGTTGCCCCAAAAATTGTTTGAGGTTTCAATAGGCAGCCCAAGCATGGCAAATGTATCAATCAAGTAATTTAATTAAAAGCCAAAAGATACTCGTTCAAGTTTTCTATGGGACCGCAAAAAAAAAACAAAAAACGAAGCGGAGCCCAAAGTTAAGGGTTGTGCATTTTCAAGCGCTGCTTTCTGAAGTTTCCATTTAAACAAGAAATTAATTTTGATTTTGTGTTAAATAAATACAAAATGAACGCAAATAAGTTGCCTGCTCTGGGACATATTTATGCGCCACTTTTTAGAGATATCCTTTAGCTAGATAAACTACTTAATTTAACACTAGCCTGGCGTCCCTGCTTTCTCCTTTGGCCTTTGTGCTTTCAATCAAAGGTCGCCAGTTATCTGACAAATGGCCATCTAAATGCTGTTCAGTCTCTCAACTCTCAACTCTGAACTGAAAAACTGGCAGCAAAACTGTTGTTTAGATTAAATTACGGTTCTTGTTTTGGCCTTTTCTCACTTGGCTGCCCAGGGCTGGCCAAATACCTTTGGGGCGTGGCTCTGCCTGTGTGTGTGTGTGTGCGTGTGTATCTGTTTGCCATTCAGTTCGGCTGCTGTTGCCAGTCGAAATGATTGTCTAGACATTTGAATGCTGCCATCATCAACAGCAGCAACAGGCAGGCAAACAGGCAATCATCTATCAAAAACTTGGCCCAAAAGAGCTGCCAAAAATTTGTGCGTAATTAAAAGCATTTAAGTTTTTCATTTTCATTTGCGCTTAGCATTCAATTTGAATTGATTTTCCAATCGTCGCCTTCATCAATTATTTACGGCAACAATTTTATTTTTTATGCCCGCCTTAATTGTTTGCCCGTAAAACAGCAGCTGCTTAAAGAGCTGCCATAAACAATATTAAAGCAAGAAAACAGCTCAAATAAATGCTCGGTAATTTTCATTTTCAAGTACAACAAGAGGTCATGTTCGTAACCCAATATGCCTGCAATTTACTTACTTACTTGCTTTTGATTTTGTTTTCAATGTCTTCTCTTTGCAAATTCAAAATTATATATTGAACGAACTGAAAGATGCCATTAGGCGTGTCATTTCCTTTTAGTACAGCTAAAATATCCTTTAACAAAGTAAATAGTCTGTAAATAGAGAAAGATACAGCTACAGCTACAGTTCACCAGAAAGTGACAGATATTCAATTGGAAAACAAAAATGCAATTACTATATATCTGTGAGTTTTGGGCCAGGACTGAAATCGCTTAAGCCGCCAACGCCTGACAGGGAGCTGGCCAACAAAGGGATAAGCGCCCAGCCCAGAGCTTAGCAAACAGAAAGAAAAAGAAATAATAGTAATAATACCAACAAAAGGAAAAGCACAGAGACAGACATTTTTCTACGTATATTATTATTATTATTTTATCTATATTCTCTTTGGCTGTTTGGCCAAATATATTTGGCTCAAATGCAAATTTGGCAGCTGAAAAATGAGTTTTACTTGGAGAAACAAACGCAATTCAGGGCTATTTATTTCCTGCAGATCCTATTATACGCGTCGCAAGTTCCGGCCCATCTATGCGAAGGTGATGAACAGCTATGCAAATGCCTGCCGCAAGTCCTCCTCGTATCAATATCAGCGCTATGCGGGCGCCAATTCGCTGAGCCTGGTCACCGGGCTGCTGCCATTTACCACCGAAATGGCCCTGTTCGAGTTCCCGTTCAATGAGCTGCTGGTGCGTGTACACTGAATGAATTTGAGGCCGTGTTTGGGACTATTTTGTTGGCCTTTTCACAGATCTGGGCCGTGTTAACCAAGCGACAGCAAATGGCGCTGCTCATGTGGACGCACGGCGAGGAGGCGCTGGCCAAATCCTTGGTCGCCTGCAAGCTGTACAAGGCAATGGCACACGAGGCGGCTGAGGATGATTTGGATACCGAAATCTACGAGGAGCTGCGCTCCTATGCCAAAGAGTTTGAGAGCAAAGGTAAGTGCGGTGGCAAGCCCCTCCAGTCCCTCACGCCTCACGCCTCGCATAAATTGGATAGTTAATTGTGGTTAAGCTTTTCATTTAATTAAGTTGTTGCGCTTGTCAATCACGCCCAACTCGTCTAATTAACGAGCCTGACTCTGGCGCTTGACTAATTGCCTTTTGTCTGCCCTTTTGTCTTGTATTGTGGTTCCTCCTCCTCCTTTACGTTTGTCGCTGCGGCAGGCAACAAGCTGTTGGACTTTAGCTATCGCCAGGACGCGGAGAAGGCGCAACGCTTGCTCACCTGCGAGCTGCACTCGTGGTCCAATCAGAGCTGCCTCTCGCTGGCCGTCGCCGCCAATCATCGCGCCCTGCTCGCCCATCCCTGCAGCCAGGTCATACTGGCGGATCTCTGGATGGGCGGATTGCGTACGCGCAAGAATACCAATTTTAAGGTGAGTACCAGATGACAAAAAAAAAGGTTATATTTTAAGAGTTTTTGTTAGTATTTGTAACTGTTTATCTACATTTTTGTTGGGAGTATTTATACCTTGAACCCATTGAAAATGGGTATAAGGGTATATTGTATTTGTGCAATATCCAAATGTATGTAACAGGCAGAAGGAAGCATCTCCGACCCCATAAAGTATATATATTCTTGATCAGCATCAATAGCCGAGTCGATCTAGCCATGTCCGTCTGTCTGTCCGTCCGTCCGTCCGTATGTACGAACGCAAGGATCTCAGAACCTTTAAGAGCTAGAGACTGAAATTTTAGATGTAGGTGCTCCTAGTGCCTGCGCAGATCGAGTTTGTTTCCGATAACTTCGATTACTTACTCCGTTTCCAAGCAATCGATAAAAATCGATATCGATATCCTTTTTTTTGGGCAATTTTGGTAAATAATAAGAGCTAGAGTCACCAAACTTGACATATATGTAACTTCTAAAATAGAATATACATATACATATATATATATGCATTTGATGTTGGAAGAAGAGGGTTCAGGGTATCCCTCAGTCGGGAGCTCCTGACTAGAACCTCTTACTTGTTTTATTATATTTTTATGCATCCACATTATTCAATTGCAGGTGATTTTAGGCTTGGTAATGCCATTCTATATAAGGCAATTGGACTTCAAATCGAAAGAGGAGCTACAACAAATGCCGCAGACCGAGGAGGAGCATTTGGAGAATCAAAATCTGGACAACGATGATTCCGATCGATCACAGCCCGATGCCGAGGTAAGTTCCACACTTGCCAAACGTATTTGTCTTTGTTTAATTTCTTAAAAAGCCTTAATTTGTTTCAATTTTAGTTTGTGTTTTTTATTGACATTTTTTTTGTTTGTTAACTATATGCGTGCCAGTTCTTAAATTGTATTAATTCCAGTTTCAGCTAAGCTAAATACTAAATAATTAATTACTCTTATTAACAGATACAAATTAATTACTCTTATAATTATATACATATATATATATATATATATATATATATTTAACTATATATCGTGCTATCATACCTAACGAAATGCCCTACCAAATACCCTCTACCTACTCTATTTGTTTTAGAACGCCCTTTTAAAAGCCAAAAGATCCATTTCCTTGAGATATAGGATGGGCGCGGGCAGTAATAATCGCGACAAGGTAGTAAAAATCAACAGATAAAAAACACAAACAACAAAAAATACCAACATTATTTCAAGCATTTCCTGTTGAAGACTCTATGTCTATATAACTTACTATATATCAATATATATGTTTTTCAATGTATTTGTTATTTCATGTATTTGCTATCGAATTGTCTGTCTGTCGGTCTGTTACGTTCGCTCTCTCTCTCTCTCTCTCTCTATCTCTGTTTGATTCTTTATGTGTCTTGTATATTCTATGTACTCTTTGTATTCTGTCTATATAAACTATGTTTTTTTTTATACATTACTCAAATTTATGGCATCTAATTTGTAACGCATTATGTGTTTAGCTGATTTTTATTGATTTCTATGCCCAGTCCAAGTTAATCTTACCATTCGTGGCTTATTTTTAGTAAGGCCTTAGGAATCGTTAGCCTTAAGCGAATAGGAAACGTGTTCTAGCCGTTTGAAGTTTCCTGCTGGTTTAGGTTAGATTGCCCAAGGACTTAACTGTGGAATAATTTACTTGATATAGGTTTGCCATAGAGTCTAACTTACCTTAAATGTAGAACTGTGTGCTCTCAACGCCTCATATAATTATAACAGTATAACAGTTAAACAGTATAAAAGTGTAAACATGTAACCCTTTAGCAGTAGATAAGCATCCGAAATTTATAACAGTTTAAAAATATGTAAGTTTAACTTAGTAAAAGTATATATTTAACCCTTTAGCCTTTTACCTTTCAAACGAGCTGAACGGTAAAATATATGTATAACGGTATAACAGTTTCCCATTACAGTCGTGTAACGCAGGAGATAAGCGTTCGAAGATAACAACAGTATAAATATATATTAGTTGAATTGAATAAAAGTATTCAAGTTTTAACGAGTATAACAGTAAAATATATGTATAACTGTATAACAGTTGTGTAACGTCCCTTAGGTATACAAAATATCGTGCAGTTACTTGACTTCTGGTCTATCTATACATATTCATCTAACTTATGCAGTCTCCTCCCTCTCTCTCTCTCCCCCTCTCTTTCTCCGTTCTCTGTTTTCTGTTCTCTATCTCGTTTTTTATAACACATTTAATCTGCGTTAATTCTCTAAAAAGTGCAAACTAATACCAGTTGAGAAGCAATCGCCATCATTTCACAGTCCTGCTAACTCGACAGATGTAAGTTTTTAGCAGAGCCACGCCTCCTCTTACGCCCATTTGCAATATTTATTTTAAAAAGTAACAAATATTTGCTTGTTCGGGTTAAAAATATTAAGTGCGAATAGCCATTAGCAGACTTAGCAGAATCCTTTGTGGCCAGTGTCCCATGGCTTAAGGCTTAATTTAAAGTTCAATTAAGTAATAACCGTTAAGAGCACAAGCACACACACACACCATACACCACACTCTATACACACACACGCACACAGACACACAGCTATTAACAATGCATATGTATGTATATGTGCGAACTGCTATAGATATGTCAAGCTGTTTGCCTATATGTTGTGCTCGCAGCTCTCAAGAGCAAGCTCTGCAGTTGTTCAAATATTGTTTTTCACTTACACACACACACACACAAGCACACACGCACACACATGCCCGTTTGTATAGAAGCAGTGGAAAATCCTTTAATCAGAAAATCAAATTAAAATCTATTGAACTTGTGCGCACAGCAATAAAGTTGTTAGGCTAATCACATCGAGTGTTGCCATTGATTAAAATTTAATTCGTATTACCTCCCACCCCCTCCGCAGTCGACAGCATCCCGCATAAGGGTATTCCGTGTCGAGGTTACTTTTACGTTAACAGTCGTAGTTAGTACAAACACACAGATCTGTACAAATACAATTTGTGGCCTGCATTTGAATATCTTTTTTTTTAGTTTGATTTCCGTTTTGATACAAATATCTTTTGAAATTTTCCATGCTAAGTATTCATTACATCTGCTCGTACAATTTGTAGCATTTACTGCATTTAATAGAAAGCAAAAAATCGTAAATCGTCAATTGTTATCTTTTAAAATAAATAAATATATATATATATACATATATGCGAAACGTGTGCCCCTTCCCCTTCAACCCGTTGCAGGCTCTATTGGCGGATACTTATTCGGTGCGCGAAACAAAAGTACACGAAAATGGCAAAGTGAGTAAATTCACAACTACCCACGAATACATTCACACTCATACACAGACACTCAGTTATACATTCATTCATTTCATTTGTGGAACTTTTTAATTGAATGCGCTCAAAATATATTTATATATTTATTCCCACCATATTTTCATATACATTTTTACTTGTGTGACCATTATGTACGTCTATCACATAATTGAATATATACTTAAATTAGTATGAAATATAAAAGTTATCAAATATATATATACATATATATATATATATACTATACTTAATAGAACACATTGTATGACATGCGCCGTTACGCATACGTCCCGTAGACCCAACTTCAAAGCCCCCTTTTAGCTGAGCAAGTGCTGTCCTCAAGGCGTTTTGACTAACAACATGCGATTAACTGAAACATTTACTTTGATTCACTTTTTGATTTTTAGTTAAACCACATTCACATGCATTCAATTTTCAGTTTTACCTGCCTAACAAGTACTGCCCGTTAAGTACTCGTTCGAATTTTACAGGTTAATCTCACTGCTGGAGCGGAAGAAGCACCCTCCAAAGTTAGTGTTGCATACCCCTAGTACTCGTTTAACTCGTATAACTCGTAGTCAATTTTACTTACTTAACCATTTAACTTTCTCTTCGATCAATCAAATCAAAGTTGGCTTACGTATATTTCATTTGCATCAAAGTAGTTGATTAATTAAGTGAACTTTTAGTGCATGTTCCATACGCTTTTGGCGTCGCTTACAATTAATTGGCGCGTATATAAATTAGAAATCAAACCACACGCCGTTACATTTACATTGCACACGCAATTTTAATTAGTTAACTCAGTTTTACTAAACATACATCTATATATATATATATATACCATAGCCTATGTAGGTAGTTTCACCGCGCCAAACTCTGCGTATACGTAATATATATGCGTATACGCCGCGTGCACATGTACATAAATCTAGATACTACATGCATATGCTATCTGTCACGCACTTTGTATTCTCTAATGTTGATAATTGAATTCAACTCAATTTCAAACTAACTTCACGTGCATTCCACTCGCTGCACTCTGAACTCGGCGACAAACTAAAGTTTATATACATCTATATTTTTTTTTTCTGTATAAATTTGATGGCATTTTTCGGGGGGTCACAGGTCTCGCTGACAGACTCGGATCCATCGCAGTTTCGGGAATTCTTTCACCTGTCCGAATTCACCAACGAGATTAAACAGCATCAGCCGCTGCGCCTGAAGAAGAAGTTCTACGAATTTTATACGGCGCCCATCACCAAATTCTGGGCCGATTCGGTAAGTGCTAAGACGTTTTTTTTTAATTACTAGCTAACGGAAATTAGCAGCTAGTGCTTCATTTCCGCTCACGCTCTCGCAATTGACAGCCCCAATGCTAACTTATGTGGATAAGTATAAAGGTATTTCGTATTTAATTACCTGTACCTGTGCAAATGGTTGGACAGGGAATATATTGTGCAAACATATGTAACAGAAAAGTCGGAAGCAACTTTGACCTTGGCAGAAAGTACATTATTCTAGATCTGTCTGTCCTTATGAACATGACTTTCTCAAAGAATTAGCAATTGGAGTATTTGGATGCTTGCAGGGTATCATCTAGTCGAGCATTATTTGCTTTTCGTTCCCTTTTTAATGTAATTATATTTGCTATATTTTGTTGCAGATTGCGTACATGTTCTTTCTGATAATGTTCTCGTTCACGGTGCTGGTTAAAATGGGTCCCATGCCCCGCTGGCAGGAATGGTATTCGATAGCCTACATAACGACATTGGGTTTCGAGAAGGTGCGCGAAATCATATCCTCTGAGCCGGTGGCCATTACGTAAGTAGTTCACAAATTGAATTCAACTTGGCTGTGTGTTTAATTGCATTTAATTTAATGATTATAAATGAGTCCCACATTGGCGCATACTTTATGCCTCTGTGCATTTTGATTACTTTCCTTCTTCCTGTCGATATGCTGTGTGCTTCGCCTTCTGAGTTTATTCACACTTGATTTACGGCCTTTCGATTTCTGTGGAGCCCTTCATTAATGCGATTCTGTTGCGGTCTTTTCTTTTTTTTTTTTTTTGTTGTTCTTGTTGCAGTCACAAATTCTCCGTGTGGGCGTGGAACATGTGGAATCCTTGCGACGGCGCTGCCATAATACTCTTTCTTATCGGCCTGTCCTTTCGCTTTCGCCCCAATACCATGGACATTGGGCGTGTCATTTACTGCGTGGACAGCATCTACTGGTATCTGCGCATATTGAACATTCTCGGCGTCAACAAGTACCTGGGTAAGTCGCCAGCTCTATTGATATATATGACTATATATATCCTTAACTTTTGCGCACAGGTCCTTTGGTCACCATGATGGGCAAAATGGTTAAGAATATGATATATTTCGTGGTGCTCTTGGCTGTGGTTCTCATGAGTTTCGGCGTCAGTCGCCAGGCCATACTCTATCCCAACAATGAGCCCACCTGGCGGCTCATCAGAGAGGTAAGCACAGCTAGCAAGTTGTCTATGTAACAACTAAATATACACACATTTGTTTTTATGTACGTGTCTGTGTGCGTGTGTGTGACTAATTAATGCCGGTAAACAAACCAAGTACGCTTGCAGAGTGTATTATGTGAACCGATCAAATATAATATATATTCCTAATCAAACGCTAAAGCCCATTTTACATAGCCAGGCTCGTCTGTTTTTTATTCCAACAAGTAGCTTTTCTTGTCTAAACTTGACATTACTTTGTCTTTTAATTCCTGTCAATTAATTCCCGTGACAAAACTAAACGGATCGTCTGACTATATCACCTTTGAATAAAGATGAACTTTATTGTCTATCTACCTTAGTTAAGATCGGTTTCTTTCAATGCACAGATATCCCCGATCTGCAAGGGTATTATGGGTCTCGGCAGGCCGAAGAAACTTGTACTTTTACGTTGATTAAAAACATGTACCATATATGCAATTTTACAGTCGTGTAAATAATAATTCTGTAGCTCAAACAAAAAAGCTGCTCATATTTTGTGCTCATGCTGATTAATTGTGTCTGTGCGTGTGTGTGTGTGTGTGTGTGTGTGTGTGTGCGTGTGTGCCTTTAACAAATATTAACATTTATGAACGTATATATATATATATGGATATATGCTCTATGTACACTGACAATTTCCATTGCAGCGCTTGAATTGTGTATTTTTGAAAGAAACGGAGTACATGCATTTACTTTTATAAAAAAACAAAAAGCAAGCAAAACGTTTTTTAAAACTCAATTAATTGTAGCTAAATTCTGGTATTTAAGTAGAATTCGCAGCGAGCTCTATATATATTTTAGTTATACATATTATTTTTTTGGTTTTCTACTAAGTAGTTTTCATGCTCATTTACGAAAACGATACTCGATACTCGATACTCGCTACTCGATACTCGCTACTCGATACTCGCTATTTGATACTCGATACTCAATTGACTAACTGCTATTCTCTCCATTGTGTCTTGTATTGTATTTTTCTATCTTTTGTTCTTTGGCGCGACATTCGAACTCGAACAAAAAATCAAAATAAAAAACGCACCATTCACTATTCACTTTTCGTTATTCACCTATTCACTATTCACTTGTAAACCATTCACAACATTTCTCGTCGCATTCGCATTCGCATTGGTTTTGTATTTGCCACGACATGGCCAGGTTATCGCTGGCTCAATCGTAGCGCCCGGATTTCAAGGGGCTCTCGGTCACAATAGTCGTTCCCACAATACGCGTCTCTCGGGCTTCGGATCCAACGCATTTGCTGCACACTATCGCAACCAAGCAGCAGCAGCAGCAGCAGCAGCAGCGGCAGCAGCAGCGGCTACAACAACAACAACAACAAGCACAACCAGGATGCCGCCCAGCGCAGAGCCGCCCACTGTGACGCCCACAACAACAACAACAACAACACTTAACCCCGAACTGCCCAGTCTTTTGAGCGGAAATCTCACAAATGTACAACAACAAAATTGGTTTGCTATTTAGAAAAAACAAAAACAAAAAGCCTGTGTGTAGCATTGATCCTAGCTGGCGTCCCTGCTGTGTGTTTGTGATAAATATGATATATATATATATATATTATATATGGCGTATATATGATATGATATATGGCAAGCTGTCTATATAGTTGTTGTTGTTGTGCCTCAAACATTTTCGTTTATTGTGCAAAAGAATATTTTTGTCTTAATTGGTTTCTTATCAATTTCTTGCTTATATTTCATTAAATATCGATGTTGTTGCAAGTAAACCCCCAAGAACCCCAATTGAATTACCCAAACTCTCTTTGATCTCTCTCTATCTCTCTCTCCCCCTCTCTCTCTGTCTCTCTCTAACACACTCTTTCTCTACTGTGTCTTAGTGCCAACGGGTTGGTTCTTTGGCTTCTCGTACAGAGTCTTACATCGTTTCCTGCTCGCCGACTTCGTTGTCTTTATCCTTTGTCTATACTTTTCTATCATATGCTCATTTAATTTATATGACTTATATGCTACATATTATTGATTAAGTTTTATTAATTAATTATAGTGCATGTTTTGCAATTATTCTATAGCAAAATTCAAGTACTTGCATCTGAGAAGTAAATGTGTGTACTCAGTTTCCAGTTGTTTGGCCTAAATGCTCGCATATTTATTCATCATTTCTGTCATTCAGTTTCAATTCCATTTCAAGATCTTTTTGTAATACCTATCAATATTATAAGTATATATATATATATGTATGCCCATAAATATATTCATTTTTGCATGCGAAATACTTTCGCTGTTTGCACAATGTCACAAACAACAAGGTTCTCCCCTTTCCCAACCTGCATTGCAGTCATTCGCGAAATTTCATTCAACAGCCAGGCTGCTGTAGTAATACTTTTGTGATACACTGTAAACACTTTTCGCAGCAATTTGCATGCAATATGCAAATGTTTAACGCAGTCAAAGTGTATTTGGCTCAAATAATGTCCTGACGCAGCTTAAATGCGTTTTATTCCGTGTCCCTGGGCTGAAAATGTGCCTGGGCTGCTCTGCTAAGGTCTATGCCAAAGGAATTTTAAATAGTTTGATTTGCATCCACATCAATGGAAATGGATGGCAACGAGATCAAGATACAGATACAGGTGCAGAAGGAAGATATGCATTAAATACACAAAACCAAATAAGTTAAAGAGAACGAATGGGATTAAGAACAAAATGCAGCTTAAGATAAAATACAGATGGAACAGGAATTTAAGATGAATCCTGTTTAAGATTTTGACAAAAATCAGTTTCGGCTCTCGGCCTTACGCCGGCGCGAACCCTATTAATGAAAATTCGAATCTCTGCCGGAGAAATAGAGATTGAAGCCATGTAATTTCAATTTCAATTAACCGGCTGCCAGCTGTGTATTTTGTAAATACCAAACTGTCTACGCTTAATTATTTGAAATCTATCACAAATTCCCATCCATCCAACGCCTCCCCTCCCCACTGCCGTGACACGACCTCCTCCATGCTGCCCCGCAGTTAAATCGCAGAGCCATTAACCCGGCAAATGCTAATGAAATGGTGGCAGGCATTTAATGAACTCAACTAACTACAGTAGCATGCTGGCTAAACTAAAAGAAAATGCTCAGTAAACACACAACACACACACACACACACACACACACGCACACATACACTTACATATATAACCCATAGCAACTATCTGTGTCGATGTGTAAAACTTGCATTAATGTTGACCCAGTCGGGGCGAGCGGTCGGTTTAAGCCCGAAATTGAATTACGCTTGGCCATCGTTGTTTTTTGTTGCCGACCAGCAGCTGGCTCCGTTTTTACTGCTCTTTATTTTGTTCTTAATTATTATTTTTTGTTTCAATTCAACAGGTCACCTATCAGCCGTACTTCATGCTGTACGGCGAGGTCTTTGCCGATGATATCGATCCGCCCTGCGGCGAGGATCCGCGTCAGCCCGCCTGCGTTACAGGTGACTGTTGCCCCACATATAAATACATATATATATATATAAACTGTATTTGTAAACTGAATGTCATTTGCAGGGCATTGGGTGACGCCTATAACGATGTCCATGTACCTATTGATTGCCAACATACTGTTAATCAATCTGCTCATTGCCGTTTTCAATAATATATTCAATGAGGTCAATTCGGTTTCACACCAGGTGAGTTAATTAATTGCAGCCGCTTTACTGTTAAGTATATTTCATTATACAAAGGCTGCTCACAGTTGCTTTCTGAACTGATTAATTGATCAAAGAACTCAACTGATTAGTAAGAGACTTTAAGTCTGTGGCTGTGGGCAGCCCTAGCTGACTTAGACTTTCAAATACCTGAAGCATGCTTTTTTAATATTGATATTGATATTAAAATTTTGTTTGCCTGCAGGTATGGATGTTCCAGCGCTTCACTGTCGTCATGGAGTATCAGCAGAAGCCGGTGCTGCCGCCGCCCTTCATCGCCTTCTGCCATTTCTATTCGCTGCTTAAGTATTGCGTGCGCAAAGCGAAAGGTGAGCCCGGCATGAGCAAGTTTAGCTTTGTTCCCTGTGAGTGAAATAACCAGAGCGTGCGCTCCCTTGTCGACCCCTAGAACGAGAATAATGTAAAAAATCTCTATATCTCTCTATATATATTTTGCCTGCTGCCGCATTGCCGCATTGCTGCATCTCGTCGTTGTCGTTGTCATCGTCGTGCTCGTCCACAACTTTTGTGTCCAAATGTGATTTCAATATATTTGCGTATTGTTCACAACTGTGCTGCTTCTTCTGCTTATAATTCTTGTTGGCATACGATTAATTCAATTGTTTGCTTGCGCCTCTCTTTCCATAGGATTGGAGGTGCAGCGGGACAATGGCCTCAAGCTATTTCTCGAAAAGGACGATCTGGAGCGGCTGTACGACTTCGAGGAGGAGTGCGTCGAGGGCTTCTTTCATGAACAGGAAATCATATTGAATCAGTCGACCGATGAGCGCGTCAAGAACACAACGGAGCGCGTCGAGACCATGTCACAGAAAATCGAGGACATCAATCAAAAGGAGAACATACAAACAGCCACTGTGCAGGTGTGTACACACACACGCACACTCTAGCTTTTTTTTTCTTTTTTGTTATGCAAATGCACAATTCTCATTTTGGCACATTGATTTGGGGTTTTATGCGCAGTGACAGGCAGCCGCAACTGCAGCTTAAATTGAAAATGTCCTTAAATGTCGAGTAATACGAGGGTTGCCTTTTCATAGTTTGTCGGCTCAATTAAAATCTCTTATTGCTTTCTCGATAAATGTATTTCTAGCTAAACAAACAAATCTCACAAATTCCGATTACTTGATAGCATGACTAACTACCATGTCTGGTTCTTTCCTCATCGTAAATTCGTATTGCTAGAAAATGACGAATATTCTTAAAAATAAATAGAAAGGCGACCCTCGCTGGCGAACCAGTTGGCCATTTGTATGCTGCTTGGGCATATGGCTTAAAGTTTTCTGTTAGTTTTTATTGCAATTGTGACATTGTTGTCATTCTGTATGTTGCAGAACATTGAATTCCGTTTGCGCAAAATGGAGGAATCATCGGAGCAAATACTGTCGCACCTGGGCGTCATACATCGCTTCATGTCCGCACATACCGCTGGCAACGAGGAGCTGCGCGGCTCCGTGATGAACATTCCGGGTGAAATGCATCGCATGCGCACCATCTCCATGTCCGACAATGAGGGGGGCAGCGGCAGCGGAGGAGGCGGCGGAGGAGGCGGCGGAGGAGGAGGAGGCGGAATCGTTACATCGTTGGGTCTGGGACCCACGCTTACTTTAAATTCGCTGCAGGTGCGTTGCGGTTAAATGAATGTGTTTTATTTCACCTTTAACCTGTTGTTGGTTCTATCTTTTCCCACCGAAGGTGAACAATCGACGTCGCTTCAATCGTTCGCTGACCGAGGTGCGACCGGATGCGTACATCTTGGATGAGGGCACACACTTTGAGGTGGTGCCGCTGCCCGAGGAGCCCGACGAGGTGGTCAAGTCGCGTGAGGCGCTCAACGAGCAGGTGGTGCGCAAGGCCTCGATGCAATCGGAACCCGACTCCGATATATATTTGCCATTGTCGCAGCGCCCGTCCACCTGTGAGACGGTCAAGCGTACGCCGTATGTGACAGTGCGCCAGGATACGGGCGCCAGCACCGAGAGCAAGGATACCCTAACGCCAATGGGCACCATGGATGACGATCAGACGCTTGTCGGCGGCGACAATTCCGATGATGCGGCCCCGGACATGAACTTTGAGGGTAATGCGAATTGCCTTAAGCAAACGCCTGGCAACTAATCCACTTCCGCTTACGCTTACGCTTACGCTTCCACGTTACGTAACGTTACGTAACGTTACTTTTTCACTACTGTTTCTTCCGTTTTGAGTTCTGTTTCTGTGTTTCTGTTCCGCCAGCCTGTGTATCAATAACAACAAAACCAATATTCTTCCCGCCTTCTTCGCATACAGCTGCCAGGCATCGGGCGCTGCGCCAGCGCACCGTCTCGCTCTGTCGCCGCAACTCGGAGACGTATTCGCTAACCGCCGCGGACATCAATCGCTCGCACATCAGCCTCAATCAGCTGACGTCACTCTCACGCCGCCAGCTGAGCCTCACCCAGTCCGAGCCGGACAGCGACAAGGACGTGCCCCCAGTGCCACAGACGGGTATGTTTCCCGTAGACTTAGACAATAAGCGTTAGACTAGTGCAGCAGCTGCAAGTAAATGCGCTCCGAAATTCTGCTAACCAAAACCCAACTCATGGCAAGCCCTAACCCCAAACCTAACTACACCTTAAACTTAATCCGACCAAAGCAAGCTACCAAATTGGCCACATATTTAGCTGTAACCAGGCCATATAATGATAATATTGTTGTTGTTGATGTTCTTGTTGATGTCGTAGTACATATACAGTGAAAGCTCTCTAGCGCGGACTGACAGTTTATCTTCATATATATTTTATAAATATTATATAGTACGTATCAATAGTAGTCCGATTTTAATATGGACTTGGGCATAACTTCGCATACAATTCGTAAATTGGGATGCAATATTTTATGACAAACAAAAAAGTTATTTTGCTTTTAATATCCTTGCCGAGAAACAGACAGACGGACGGACAGACATGGCAATAACGATTCGGCTGTTGATCCTGATCCTGATCGGAGATGTCTCTTTCTATGCGTTACACATATCACGACAAAATTATAATACCCTTTGCAGGGTATAAAACAAATATATATAAAAAACTCATTGCATATATAATATGTCCCTTTCTATTGGGAAGGGACTACAAATTGCAGCCTCCGCATGGAAACTGTTCGTTAGTAGAGCTTTCACTGTACTCGCCTCTCGTTTACTCTCGCCACACACTCTTTCTTTCTCTTTCTCTCTCTCTCTCTAATTTGATCTCTGACGCATTCTCAACCTAACCTCGAACTCTAGGTAAATCAGTTTTGCATGCGAAACCCTCCAGAAATATATTGCTGAAACTGCACAGTGAATATACATCCATAACGGACGAACTGGAGAACGTCTGCCATTTGATTGCCTCGCCGACCGTCTCGCTGCAGAGCAACAAAGGTAAGTTGGCGTTGCTCCCATCCCCATCCCCAACCACCACCTATCCAACCGTATCTGATTGGCCGTACCATCGAATTAAAAGCGGAATCTGAATCTGAAACTCCAAATTGTAATCTGTGTATAGCTAACCGGGCGTATGCGTAATTATCATTTGCCTTGTGCTTGCCGCCAAATCAAACCAAACCAAACCAAAACGCCTGCGCCTGCCTTCATTCTTTATTCCTCTGTCTGCCGCCAAATAATTCTTATAATTCGAATATTCACAGCCTCCTTGGATCGGCCCAAGACGGAAATGTCGCGCGCCGAGGCCGCTGCGCTGCAGGAGAAGAAGCATCTAAAGGAATGCGAAGAGAACGATTATAGGATACTGGAGGGTCTCTTCGAGGCACGCGGCTCCATCGATGCGAGCGTGCAGGCCTATGAGGTAAGTCCTACGCTCAGTTCCCGCTCAGACCATGCTCATTATTAACTCTGCCAACCTCTACAGATTGGTGTCTCTGTGGACTACAGCCATCGCTATCCGCTGCGCCGGGAGACGGCCATTGAGCTGTCGCCCTCTAAGCCCGCCGCCGAGGGTGGACCAATTGGCGGAGCCACAGCCGGCGATAGCAGCGATACCAGCGGCGCAGGCAGCAGTCATCATGCGGCGAACAGCGGCTTTCAGCTGAAGCACGAGCGGCCCTGGCAGCGCAACTCGTCCATGGAGCAGCAGGCCTACCAGTCGCCGCTGGTGCCAACGCGTGCCACCAGCGATTTTCTGAATGCGCCGTACGACAGCAGCGGGCGTCTGTTTAAGAAGTCCAGCGAAAGCTTGCAGAAGAACTCCAGCACGGACACGGACTACTCGGCGCATCCGTATCGATTCATCAAGCAGAGCTCAAATGAGACGAACACCTCGCTAACTGGCTCCTACAACGTGGACACGCCCTCGTTGACGGCGGAGCCATCCCTGGATGCCGGCGATTCGCAATCGGCAACGGGCATTAGCATGAGCGTTGGCCCTGCTGGTGGCGCTGCGACGGCGCGTTACCAGCCAAAGCGCACCGCGTCCGTTGGCGCTGCCGATGGCAGACGCTTGCGCGACGATAGCTCCAGTTCCCTGGATTTGAGCGTGGCGCCAGTAATGACGCAGGCAGCGCCAGCAGTGCCAACGCGTACCATGCAGCTGAAGAAACAGTTTAGCATGGACCAGGGCAAGCCGCTAGCGCCGCAGATGAGCACCGAACCGGGCGCAGCGGAGGCAGCGGCTGGTGCCGGAATCTCGACAGCTGCAGTTGCCGGCGTTGCGTTGCCCGCGCAGGTTGGCGCCAAACTGATTTCAACGCTGAAGCCGCCCTACCCCAGCAAGCTGGGCATGAATGTTCTCAAGGAGAGCAGTTCCAGCACAGAGGAGTCGCGAGACGGCGAACCCACGACCTCCACGACTTCCTCCTCCGCCAAGAGCAGCAATGTGGGGCTGTCCATTCCACAGATAAGCACACACCTGGTGCAGGACGAGATTGCCAAGCTGTCCTCGAACATCAAGAGCAGCACCGAATCGGAAAAGGATCCGCCGTATAACGAGACAATGTGTTAACCACCTATGTAAATATATAGATATATATATATACATGTTATATGTGTGTGTATGTATGTGTATGTATGTGTACTCGTTAATGTTGCCTAGCGTAGGACATTGATAAATGTATCTGTATCTGCATCTGTATATGTATATGTATCTGTAAGCGTAACTGTATCTGTTAGTTGTACGAGTATGTGAATCCACCTTGTGCTCAAAAGCGTTGGTAGTCAACGAAAAAAACAATTATAATATTGCGGTTTATTCCATACGAATATATATATATTTATATATCCGATTCATGTCGAAAGATAGAGCGCATATCAAATATATATATATATGTATTTACGATCGCCCTGGTGGAATGCAACGCAATTTAAATTTTTGACAATACATAGCACACAGATTCGTCTGTATTTTTATAAAATGTATTTATTTACAAGTTGTCCGTTTTTATTGTTGTTATTTAATATACAAAAAAAAAAAACAAGGAACAGCAAAGAGAAATATTAACAAAAAAAACAAACAAATCAAAATGCATGCATTTCACATCTGTTTTTACCACTCTTCAGCATACATAAATGTCGTATACTCTATCTAACTGTTATCAAGTAAAACAATATGTTTACAATGTCTAGTTATAGTTCCAGAAACATATGAAATGTAACTTGCAATTTCACATATCCTACAACAAACTACAAACTTATCAAAAAAGCAAACACTAAAACTAAAACTCAAAAATCTATATAGTTATTAAACTTAGAGCAAAACTTATTGTACTTACGCTTTGCCTATATAAGTATCTGTACTGTTATGTATGTAAACGTGTTGATTATGCAACTAATTAGTATATATTAACTGCTTGTATCTGTATGTGTGCTAATATTTAGTTAGTTAGTCCATTTTACTTATTTATATGTGTGTGTGTGCGCGCAACTGTGTGTATGTTTAGCTAAATAGTCTAGTGAAAAACAATTTGTATATACATACTGCATAGAAAGATATTTTTTCAAAAACAAAACCAACCCAACCAAAACATGTTAACCTTTTCCTTCGTGTTAAATGCGTTGTTCATTATTAGTTGGTAACCTTAATGCATTTTATTAGTGTTAAAAAAATGAAAACAATGTACTTATTGATTTTAAGAAAATAAATTGAATTATGCATCCATACATCTCACTCTTTGATCGAAATGGTAAAACAAATACTGATGCTTTTTCTTTCAGCCGGTGCCCAGCAAAAGCTACATCACCATCGATGGTAACTAGTTGTCCCATTATCCTTGGTTATACCATACCATTGATATAGTCCTGGTGAACCTAAAGGACCCAATTCCCAGTATGCCCGCAATCGGGCTTTATTTAGCAGAGATATCACGTTTATTTTTTTTAAATAAATGACTGTTATGCTATGGTTCTATGCTTCTCCACGACTTAACCCTCCCTTTTTGACCGCAATCGGGCTTTATTTGGCCGAGATATGACCATTTAAATTTTTTCCAAAAAATTCGTGTGGTTGTGGACATACAAGTAACGCAAAGCATTGCATACTTTCGTGCTGACCAGATAAAAATTTTGAGCCTATAAGAGTAGCTGATCTGCTGCATACTTTTGGGCCGCCCATAAAAACACCCATTCACAATAAACACGCTGCAGCGACATTGATTATTAAATATTAAAATGCAAAAAACTCGGCTAAATACAGCCCGTTTTCGGAATGATATGCCTCTTTCTACTCGTACTGATCCCGACCATCGATTGCCACCCAAAAATCCGCATTCCAAGAGATCACCCAAAATGACCAAAAGATACAGTTTTTTTTGCATATATGAAGTTCCTAGTTTAAACTGGCCTTGATCACGAGTCGAACGTGACCAATCTTCTCAAGATCGGACTTTATTTAGCCAAGATACGGCCATTTAAAAAAAGCGAAAATATGCCGTTATAATTTTGAAGATTTTTCGTTTTTTTGCGATAATTCGGCTAATAATTGTCCGATTTTGGAAAGTTAGGCCTTTTTAATCTCGTACTGGTCTCTGCTATCGACTGGCATATCACGTTTTTTTCGAAAAATTTCGATTCTATGGACCTCCGCGAGTAACCCCTCCCAATCTGCCCTCTATCGGGCTTTATTTGGCCGAGATATGACCATTTAAAGTTTTCCAAAAAAATCCGTGTGGTTGTGCACAAAGAACTAAAGCAAAGCATTGCATACTTGGAGATATGACGTTTCAAGCGACATATCTCCAACGCTCTAACGCTCTAAAAAAATCTTGGAGATATGACGTTTTAAGCGACATATCTCCAATGCTCCAAAACGACGACGGAGTTATGTCGTTTTGAAGCGACATACCTCCAACGCTCTAAAAAAAATCTTGGAGATATGACGTTTCCAAACGACATAACTCCGCCGTTGATCATGCCGAAATTATGTCGTTTTGAAGCGACATATCTCCAACGCTCTAAAAAAAATCTTGGAGATATGACGTTTCCAAACGACATATCTCCAATGCTCCAAAACGACGACGGAGTTATGTCGTTTTGAAGCGACATACCTCCAACGCTCTAAAAAAAATCTTGGAGATATGACGTTTCCAAACGACATAACTCCGCCGTTGATCATGCCGAAATTATGTCGTTTTGAAGCGACATATCTCCAACGCTCTAAAAAAAATCTTGGAGATATGACGTTTCCAAACGACATATCTCCAATGCTCCAAAACGACGACGGAGTTATGTCGTTTTGAAGCGACATACCTCCAACGCTCTAAAAAAAATCTTGGAGATATGACGTTTCCAAACGACATAACTCCGCCGTTGATCATGGCGAAATTATGTCGTTTTGAAGCGACATAGCTCCGCCGCTCTAAAAAAAATCTTGGAGATATGACGTTTCCAAACGACATATCTCCAATGCTCCAAAACGACGACGGAGTTATGTCGTTTTGAAGCGACATACCTCCAACGCTCTAAAAAAAATCTTGGAGATATGACGTTTCCAAACGACATAACTCCGCCGTTGATCATGGCGAAATTATGTCGTTTTGAAGCGACATAGCTCCGCCGCTCTAAAAACTTCATACGTCCGCGCGGAGATATGACGTTTCCAATCATGGCGATTGACTACCGATTGCCATCCGCACTCTAATTGATCAAAAAAATACGTTTTTCTTCGAAAAATTACTTTTCTGAAAACTGATGGCATTCTGTTGTATGGACCTCTGCGACTTAACCCTCCCAATCAAAAAACTCTTGTTTGTATAACTTAGGGGCAAAAATTTATTTAATACTTTTCTCACTTACATTTAAACTAGGATGAATTATTGCGTACAATATATTTAGTGTTGTGTGTGTTTTGCCTTCTCTCTACATGTTTGTGAGTTTATTTTTTACATTGTATACAAAAATTGAAGTCTTTTATCGAAGCCATCGAAGCTTAAAAACTAAACAAATATGTTTATTATCAATATTTTATAAATATTTACAAATAATGGCAATATGGCTTGACTCGGCGCACCTAGCGCAGCTCTACATAAATAACATTTCATTTCAAGCTATTATCAAAAATTCCAACAAAATCCACAAGAACATTTGATGCTTCGCGGCCTACAAGTTACACTAGGTTTTAGTTATAAATATATATCCATATACATATATATATTTATATATATAGCTTTCTTCTTGAAGAACACATTTCTAACTGTAGATCTGTTAAACTGTTGATCCACTTATCCAGTTCGTTTATCCTTTTCGCTTTTTTGGTATTGGCCAACTGTTCAGTTGGAATCGATGTTTTCTTCTTTTTTAGAATGTGATGTACTTGTCTATAGCTTAGCAACGAGGATCACAATATTGAGCTTAGTTATTGCCACTGTTAAGGTTCTCCGCCTCGGGCTCCACGGGGCCCTGATTCGCCAGAATGGCCATCTCGTCCTTCTCCTTACGTTTAAAGAAGCCCGCCTGCAAGAAGAAGAGAATGCGTTGTTCATCAATCATCGTTTGCATGCGATTTTTGTGGTACTCACCTTGTACATGGCATACGTGATGGCTGCCAGCAGTAGAAGACCACCGAGTACGGCCAAAATAATAGCCCAGATGGGCAAGCTGGATTCTAGATGCTTTGATATGACATTCGGTTCAATTTTGCGTCGAATGGACAGCGAGCTGCCTGTGGGATCGCCCTCCTTGCGCACATTCAGATCGATGAGGACGACAAAGAACTCCCATGGATCGATTAGGATGGCGTTCACCTCGTTCAAATCGATGCTGTAGCGCAAGTTCAGATTGATTGGCTTCTCCGGCTTGAAATTGTAGACGCGCATCACGGCGCGCAAACAGACGGTCATCTCGGGATCCCGACAATTGAACACAATGGTGCGATTCACCGGCAGCTTGTCCTTGAAGTCTTCGCTGAGCAGATCGTGCGCCTTAAAGTTCACGATTCGCTCGTATTGCTCCCGACTGGCAGTCAAGGCTTTGAGATCGCGTCGCTTGCGCGTCATGGATGCCGTGGCCACAGCATCCGAGTCCAATACCTGCCAGCTTTCCTGCAACACATGCTCGCTGCTGACCTCATAGTGCTGCCCATTCTGATTGACCACCACGCGCTCCGTGTGCTGGCCACTGCGCGTTGTCGAGATCTCAATGGGATTCATAATTATCTGCGTGTTATTCTGGTCAAGCAGCTCAATGGACACCAGCTGGGAGTCGTATGTGGCCTGCATGCTCAGATTGCCCACATTGATGATGGGCAACGTGGCCGTTGAGCCGGCGATCTTGTAGGCAACGGGTATATGGAAGACCAGCTCGAGGCCATCCACAGTGCTGGGGCCATTGCTCTTGATCTCATAGTTGTTGACCACCAGCGCGGAGTTCTTATAGTGCTCCAAGTCGATTGCTGCATTGCTCTGGCCGCTGTAAAAATCAATAGGATTGGGATGAGCACACATATTAAACGAGTTGCATCACGACTTACCCGGAGGCATCAATTTCCGTGTACTCCTTGAGCGCAATCAGCGTGTTCAGCTTATTGTCGTGGAGATTTTGCTCCAGGCCCGTGCTGAATACCTCGGCGCTGATGGTCAGGGCGCTGCCCGTCAGGCTGCTCACATCGAAGCTAATCGTGATGCTGTCCCTGTCGCCCTTGCC